GAAACGCCACCCAGGCCGAGGACCCCTGGGAGGCCCCTCAGCTGTGAGTGACCTGCTGTTCCTAGTTAGGACTGTGGGGATACTGTTGGAGATTTCCGAGTGGCTGCTTCTCTTTGGATGTCAAGCTGGGTCTTGGAGGAGCAGCAAGGGTCCTTGGGTGGGTGCAGGAAACAATTGCTGTTTGAAGAATACTTGCTGTGATCAGGTGCCATGCTTAACACTTAGCAATATTAGTTTGCTTTTTAATACTGTGGATTTCTTTGAAAATTAGAGCACGTTAGGCAGATCCATGGAGACAGGAAGTGAATAGATCAGTGGTTGCCAGGGGATGGGGCGGGGGAGTAAGAGTAACTGGTGATGGGGAAAGGTCTGGGGTGATGGAAATGCTGTAGGAAGATTGTGGTGGTGGTGGCGGCGGCTGTACAACAGAGAAGTGTATACTACAAATCACTTAACTATAATGTGTACTTTATACATACAGACTTTCTGTTATGTGAATCTTGTCTGTATCTACAATTTTTTCTTCTTCTTTATAAATCTGCAGCATATGGAATGGACAGCAGACCTCCCATGGCAATTTTTGAGTTGTTGGATTATATAGTCAATGAAGTAAGTGCTGCCAGGTTTCCTTGATGTTGGGGTTTATTTATTCTACTTAAGAAAGTAGTTATGAGGTCTGGAGAGATGGTTTGGTGGTTAAGAGAACTGGCTGTTCTTCCAGAGGTCCTAAGTTCAATTCCCAGCAACCACATGGTGGCTTACAAACATCTATGGTGGGATCTGATGCCCTCTTCTGGCATAAAGTCACACATACAGCTAGAGCACTCATACATAAAATAAAGCTTTAAAAAAAAATTGTTATGGGCTGTTGAGATGGCTCAGTGATACACAGACATATATGCGGACATACATAAAATAAAATGAAAAAAAACAAAAACAAGGAAAAGGGAAAAAACCAAAATAGTAGTTATGCATGTGTTGATGCACACCTGTGATCCCAGTACTTAGATTTGAGACAGGAGAGTCTCAAGCCCAAGGCAGACCACACAGTAAGATCCCTGTCTCAGAAGGGCTGGTGGGAGGGAAACCCATGGCATCATGGTTAGGATGCCTGTGAGTTGTTCACATGGGTATGGTCTTCGGGGTACTTGTGCTCCGCACTTGGAATTGTCATCTCAGGGTCTCTTCTTTCCCAACAGCAGGAGCCTCCCATTCACCCACTGATGTTTGCCTGTCTTCATTTACTAGGCTCTCCAGTGCATTTACAAAGTTCTGTAATGCACAGGGGATGTGAGAAGGAATAAGTGGGATAGACAAAGATGGAAAAACAGGAGTCCCTAGTCTCCATGATGGTTGGGTGGGGTGAAGGAGGCAGGCTGGTAAATGTAGAACTGCAACATACAGGTTTTTGTTCTTTTTTGTTGTTGTTTTTCAAGACAGGGTTTCTTTGTGTGGTTCTGGCTGTCCTGGAACTTGCTCTGTAGACCAGACTGGTCTCAAATTCACAGAGATCCACCTGCCTTTGCCTCCTGAGTGCTGTGACTAAAGGCCTGCACTACCACCACCCAGCTGGTTCTTATTTTAAGTGCTATTTAAAAAGCTGTTACTATAGAAAGAGATATGGAACATCTATTATCAATTCTGTGAAAGAAGCAAATTACTTCTCAGTGAGGTGGCTCAAGCCTGTAATCCCAGCACCTGGGAGGCCAAGGGAGACTATGAATTCTGGGCTAGCCTTCACTATAGAATGAGACACTCTCTCAAAGAGGGGGCAAAAGTTTTGAGAAATTTTTTTTGTTTTGTTTTTTAGTCAGGGTTTCTCTGTGTAGCTTTGGCGCCTTTCCTGGAATTCACTCTATAGCCCAGGCTGGCCTCAAACTCACAGAGATCCGCCTGGCTCTGCCTCCCGAGTGCTGGGATTAAAGGCGTGTGCCACCACTGCTTTGCGAGAAAAATCTTTTTTAATGTATATACCTCCTATAAAGGTCATTAAAAACTTCAAACTCTTAGGCCAGGCAGTGGTGGCAGACTTGATAGCCGTACCACTTGTGAAATCCATGTACAAGTAAATTTACATTCAAGGAGGAGACTTGCCCCAAGGTTTGCTCCAGAGTAGGCTGGGGCAGTACAGGGATGTGAGAGGCAGCCTGGCGGGCCAGCACTGTGTCTGCAGCAGAAGCAGTCTTGGCAGTTGATGAGAAGGGTGAGTGCTGGCATGTTTCAGAGGGAGCACTGGGCTCAGATAAGGCCATCACCTACCCTTGACTTCTTCAAGAAACCACAGGACATCTATCTTCTTGGGTCCTTTTATGAAAACAGACCCTTAAAGGCACAAAAGGCCCACTGTCACACACTCAACAGGGAATATCCTGGTCACCCCAGAGGTTATAAATCGGTGCTTTCCGGCTCACCAGGGAGCTTAGTCTATTTCTCTACTGTGTGCAGAGCAGTATGCCAAGCAGCGAGGGGCAGGACAGAGGAGCACAGGCCTGAAGAGTTCATCAGTGCAGGGTGGGCCACCCGTCCTCCACCTACGGGAGCCTGAAGGGCTCTGGGTGGAAGGCCTGTTAGGAGGTTGCCTGGACCAGTGCAGCTCTGCACACTGCTTTCCCCACATGTGCTTGTTCATATTCTGTTCTCGTGTTCTTCAAGGCAGCTGAGGTGGGCCAAACTGAGGCTCCAGGATAGGCAATAGCTACATCTTTCCCCCAGTGCTTTCTTCTATCACCTACCTCTTTCCATTCCGATCTCAAGAGCCTTTGTTGGCACCCAGCCCTTTCTTGCCTGCCCCTTCCCACTTGGGAGAAGCAGACATTGGCCTCTGGAGACCAGTTGTCTTCTCTGGACTATTCCACACCTTCTCAGCAGCTGGGACAGTTTGCAGGGTGGGGCTTGCCCAGGGCCACTGTTTTACAGTCTGGGTGGTAGCCGACCTCAAACTGACAAGGCCTTCAGGCTGAGAGGGCTCGGTGGGCTCTTCAGTAGGAGGCTTGTGTTTTATTGTTTCTGCAGGGCTGGGGATCAAACCCATGCCTCCTCGTTCATGCTGTGCAAGCTCTCTACCACTGACTTGAGCCACACCTGCAGAGCCAGTGTTTGTTCCGTTTGTTTTAGATGGGTCTCGTTTCAAATGCTTCAGCCTCCCAAAGTGATGGGACTACAAGTAGACACCACCCAACTGCTGTTTCTTTTTTCCTTCCTTCCTTCCTGCCTCCTTCACTCTTGAGACAGGATCTCACTATGTAGCCCTGGCTGGAATTCACTATTACAGACCACCTGCTTCTGCCTCCTGAATGCTTTGGCTGGTGTCTCAGTAGAGCAGGGACATCTTAGGTATACCTCAAGTACTGCTCCTTCCAAGAAAGCTACACATAGCTGCTGGCACAGGTCAGGAAACTATTTCCTAGAGCTACTGTCAGGATCTGGGCCAGAGACCTGGGAGCTGCCACATTGCCGCAGCGTGTGAGCAATATTCACCCATACTCAGCCTTGCCAGTTAATAACTTTCTCGGGCTATTCAGGGTTCAGAAAAGGGTTGTTTTGTGGTTTCTGGGGGTGCTGTCAGGCCTGAGTGGTGCTTTCTCGTGTGTGCCTCCCTAAGGCTTCTGCTGTTGGTAACTTGCTGGCACTCCAGACAGCCACCACTCTTACACTACTACTCTTACTGTGCAGTTGAGTGTCTAAACTCAGAGGGCTCTAGAGCTAACAGCTCAACCTTACTTCATACGAGAGTGAACAGGCTGAGGGAAACAGTTTGTTCAGTCGCCAGAGTAGCAGACTCCTTGAATGGTCCCAAGGTGAGCCAGGAGGAGCAGGACTTCCCAAGGCCACTTTCCTAGAGCTGATAAGGGTAGCAGTGGCCAGAGGCATGGGTGTGATGGGGGAGTGACTGGAGCAGGAGTCAAGAGTGTCTCACATGTTGACCCGTTTGCAGCCTCCTCCAAAACTGCCCAGTGGAGTATTCAGTCTGGAATTTCAGGATTTCGTGAATAAATGGTAAGTTTGCACCATGTCTCTGAGAACCCTGGTCTTAGCCTTTCCCTCTCCATTAACCCTGGCTGCTGCTGTTTCCCTTGTAGTGCTGGGACTCACGACTATCTGGTGCTGGGTGCTGCTCTACTTAGACTGCAGGGATCATCCTGTTGCTTCCTGACCTTGATTTAATTCAGCAAGACTTCATTTATGTGCTTAGGCATGATGGTGTGCCTAGAACGGAGGCCGAGGAGGCTCAGGCACCAGCTCCTCAGCCTCAGTTTAAGGGGCAGGCATGCAAACCTGAGCAGTGTGACTGGGAAGCAGTGTTCTCACATCCATCTTTCCTCTTTTCAGCTTAATAAAGAACCCTGCAGAGAGGGCAGATCTGAAGCAGCTCATGGTGAGTCTCACAGAGCCTGTTTATTCATCCGACTGAGCCATTTTTCTGCCCTGCCCCACCCCGTTCTTCAGTCAGGGTTGGGGCTGCACAGTGCCAGACGTCAGTCTCCTCAGTCTTCCTGCGAGTTACAGGGGGACCAGCCCACAACCTTCCTGAGGACAGGCCTTTTTTTTTCCTAGTTCTGACTGGTTCACCTCACATTTCCAGCATCCTGAGTTATTCTCCATCTAGTTCTTGTTTGATGACAGTGGCACAGGAGTGTGGTACTCTAAGATCCAGACACCATGCCTTGTGTAGCCTTAAGTGTAGCGTACCTTCTAACAAGCCAGAGTTGCTCAGAGACAAGGCTGCCCTAGGGCTGCACAGCTTATACATGTGGCAGAGGGTCTTTGAGCTGTAGCTGGCCTACTTGCTGCTCAAGGGTGAACATTTAGAAGCATCTTCCAAGTGGTGCCCAGGCTGAGACTCTTGCTTTTCCTTCCTGGTAGTTTTTAACAGCACTTCCTTTCTGTTTTCTGCCCACAGGTTCATGCTTTCATCAAGAGATCTGATGCTGAGGAGGTGGACTTCGCAGGTTGGCTCTGTTCCACCATTGGGCTTAACCAGCCCAGCACACCAACCCACGCCGCTAGCATCTGAACCTTTGGGAAACAGCACAGAGGAATTCCTCTGCCCAGCGGCATGCCATGTTGCTTTCAGGCCTCTCCCATGCTTGTCTCTGTTCAGACGTGCATCTCATCTGTGACAAAGGATGAAGAACACAGCATGTGCCAAATTGTACTTGTGTCATTTTTAATATTACTGTCTTTATCACTATGGTTACTCCCCTAAGTGGATTGGCTTTGTGCTTGGGGCTATTTGTATGTTGATCAAACACATGCCAGGCTGAACCACAGTGAAACCCTGGTGACCTGGGTGGTCATTCTTACTGATGTTTGCACTGCTGTTCATGTTCCGTGACTCACTGGCTGGCTGCCTGGATTGTCAGGATTCTCGGACCCTTGGTACTTCACTCTTGCTGGTGACCTCTCAGTCTGTGGAGAGGGAGCCTTGTGAGACCCTTCACAGGCAGTGCATGGGAAGCATGCTTTGCTGCTACTGAAATGAGCATCAGACTGTACATCATGTTATTTTTATTTTTTGCTTTTGGTATAGAACTCAGCAATTCACATTAAAAAAAAAAAAATGTAACCAGAGCCCATCACTGCCATGATAGCTGGGGCTTCAGTCTGTCTACTGTGGTGATTTTTAGACTTCTGGTTGTATTTCTATATTTATTTTTAAATATACTGTGTGGGGTACATAGTGTGGCGTATGTCTCTTAAGTTTGGATTCGTTTCTAAATAGGTGGAGTTAGTTTGAACGTCATAAATGGATGATGGCATCAGTATGTGTCAGAGTTCTATCTTCAATCCAAGCACCAATGCTATTGTAAACAACGTGTATAGTGCCTACAGATTGTATGAAAACCCTTTTAATCACTTTAATCCAGATGTTTATCAAATCTAATCTCTTATTCTAATAAAAATACTATCAGGTTAAAATAAAAAGGACAAAAGGTATTTCTGCTTTTGTGGCAGGCCTTCCTCTCGGTTTCTCTAGACTCTAGGAAATGGCGTGATTTAGCCATGCACTGAGGTGCGAAGTGAAGGCAGGGACACAGCTGGAAGGCATAAATACACATACGAGGGTTTCTGTTGCTGATAGAACACCCTGACCGAAAGCAACTCTGGAGTTTATCTCAGTCTACAGCTTGTAATCAGTCCATCATCTAGAGAACTCGTGGCAGAGGCCATGGAGGAACCCTGCTTCCTGGCTGCTGCTTCATGCTTGCTGAATTCTTCTTACAGCACACAGGAACACCAGCTCAGGGGTGACACCGCCCACAGGGAGCTGGGCTCTCCACATCAGTCATCATTCAAGAAAATGCACCACAAGCTTGCCTACAGGCCAATCTGATGGGGCATTTTCTCAGCTGAGGCTCCGTCTTCCAAAATGACCAGCTTGTTTTGAGTTTACATTAAAAACCAGCTAACATGCAGTGCGTGGCAGCATATGCGTGTTTAAATCCAGTACTTGGAGGCAAGGGCAGATGGATCTCGGAGTTTGAGGCTGGCTTGGTCTATATAGTGAGTTCCAGGACAGCCAGCGCTATGTAGAGAGACCTTGTCTCAGAAAAAGAAAAAAGAAACACCCCTCCTCCCCAACCACACACACACTAGCCGGCGAACACACTGCCAGCTCTGTGCAGTGGGCTAATGGGTCTCCTGCAACTTCAATCTTTGGACCACTCTTCATGTGCAGAACTTCAACAGTGACTACCACCTTCCCAGGACCTGGGAAGTCAAGTCTCTTTACGTAAGGGAAAAATGGTAGGGGGGTGTCCTAGGGTTTCTGTTGTTGTGATGAAACACCCTGACCAAAAGCAGGTTGGGGAGGAGAGGGTTTACTTGGCTTATATGTCCTGAATCACAGTCCACTGAAGTAAACAAAGGCAGGTACTCAAACTGGGCGGTGGGAACCTGGAAACTGATTTAGAGGTAATGGAAGAATGCTGCTTACTGGCTTGTTCAGCCTTCTTTTTTTGGGGGGGGGGGGGCAGGGTTTCTCTGTGTAGCTTTGCGCCTGTCCTGGAACTCACTTGGTAGCCCAGGCTGGCCTCGAACTCACAGAGATCCGCCTGGCTCTGCCTCCCGAGTGCTGGGACCAAAGGCGTGCGCCACCACCGCCCGGCCTTGTTCAGCCTTCTTAATTACAGCACTCAGGACCACCAGCCAGGGGCTGGGCCCTCCCACATCAACCACTAAGAAAATACTCTCTGGGCTTCCCTCAAGTTCAGTCTTATAGAGGTATTTTCTCTATCAAGATTTCCTCCTCCCAGATGACCGTGATTTGTGTCAAGCTGACAAAAACCCAGCCAGCACAGTGGGGTTGGGAACCCTTGAGCAAGTTTCTCAGAACATTCCTTATTTTGTGTAGCAGGGCCGGCCTACAGTTCCAGTAGCCATGCTCACAGGAGGTCCTTGCTGGTGTGAGAGCCTTCATTCATCCAGGTCTAGTCCGTGTGCTGGGCTTTGCTGGGAAATGGTTTCCTTTCACTACTTAGAATTAACTACACCTTCCAAGGGCAGAGGTACTCCCAGTGCTGCCTTTATCACACCTGTGAGGGAGCACACACACACCACCACACACACACCCCCACACCGTTCACAAGTGGACACACTCTTTCACATAGGCTCCAGGGCCCAAGGCAAGTGCTTGAGATTTCGAAATTTCATTTGTAAAACTAACCCTACCTCACGCCGGGCGACAGTGGCGCACGCCTTTAATCCCAGCACTCAGGAGGCAGAGCCAGGCAGATCTCTGGACAGGCACCAAAACTACACAGAGAAACTCTGTCTCAAAAAAACAAACAAAAATCCCAAAACCAAAAAAAAAAAAAAAAAAAAAAAAAACTAACCCTAGCTCTTGTTCCCTTTTAGGAATCAGATTCTTCTTCCTCTTCCTCCTCCTCCTCTTCCTCCATAGGGCTCCTTGTGCTCAGCTTCAGTGTGGTTTGGTTGATGGACGCTTCATTGTCTACATTCACTGCCATCTGTGGAAAACAAGAACCCTAGCATTACTAGGAAGGAGCTGAGCCTCAAAACGGCAAATTCTTTTTTTTTTTTTCCCATGGAAACAGCAAATTCTTCAAAAGCAAATCTCATTTGTGGGGTTGTAGAGATGAACAGCAGTTAAGAGTAGCTGTTGCCTGAGGACAGTGGTGGCACACGCCTTTAATCCCAGCACTCAGGAGGCAGAGGCAGGTGGATCTCTGTGAGTTCGAGGCCAGCCTGGTTTACAGAGCAAGTTCAGGACTGCCAGGGCTACACAGAGAAACCTTTTTTGTTGTTGTTGTTGTTTTGTTTTTGTTTTTTTTGAGGCAGGGTTTCTCTTTTTAGCTTTGTGCCTTTCCTGGAACTCACGTAGCCCAGGCTGGCCTTGAACTCACTAAGATTCACCTGGCTCTGCCTCCCGAGTGCTGGGATTAAAGGCGTGCGCCACCACCGCCCGGCTCCATCACATTTTTTTTTTTTTTTGGTTTTTTCGAGACAGGGTTTGGAACTCACTTGGTAGCCCAGGCTGGCCTCGAACTCACAGAGATCCGCCTGGCTCTGCCTCCCCGAGTGCTGGGATTAAAGGCGTGCGCCACCACCGCCGGGCTCACATTTTTATTACTGAGAGGAAAGAGCATTTTTCGTTTCTCATTTCTCCCATTACTGAAAAGGGGTAAGAATAAATGCTTCATATTTTCTAAAATGTTAACTGGTCTTCAGAGGTCTTCTAGAAACCATTAGCAAAGTCATTGTGTAGACTATGACTGTACTGCCTTTTTTATTTTTTTATTCATTGTAGCCCTGGCTACCCTGGAACTCACGCTGTAGCCCAGGCTGGCCTTGAACTCACAAAGATCCACTTTCCTCTGCCTCTAGAGTGCTGGGATTAAAGGCGTGCGCCACCACGTGTGTGGGCCTTTTTGAAGGTACTTGTAAGAGTGAGCGGGGTAACACCCACTACTCATCCTTTGGCCCCTGCTTTGTCCTTGAAGCCACATTCACACAGGACAGCAACTATGACACATTTTTAAAGAGCCAAGTTTCTAAACAGGATGTGGGGCACATGCCTGTCACCCCAGACAGGGAAGAAGGATCAGAAGGCGGCCAGCCTGGGTACAGAAGACACTGCTTCAAAACTCACCGTGACCCTACCACAACAATCCCTACCAGTTTCTTGGGGTTCACCTGAATAACTGGAAATAATGGGGTAATCTGAGTAACTGGGAAGGCCAGGCCTGTAGTGGAGCACACTGTGAGAGAAGAGGCTGCTTAAATCTGACAAAGTAAACAGGGTGTCTACTGCCTGAAACATGAATGTTGGTGAGCTCGTTAGTGAAGTACAAATTAGGAGAGGCTGGAGCTGTGGCTCACTGGTAGGGTGCTGGCTCCCCATGTATGAGGTCCCAGGTTCAATCCACAGTAAACTCCCTCACACCCCAAGTATCTGATTGTCACTTCCACGGTCTTTTGGACTTGATAATGTGCTATACAGCCACCATTTGCCTACCCATGCAGCAAGGGAAAAAATGGAACCCCACACTCTATCCAGAAGCCTGTACTTGACTAAACTTACATCACACAGCTGTTCAGGTGCCGGCTGAGAAGAGAGTGTCTCGGTCCCTCTTCGAGAACTTATCATGGATTGGAGGGCCAGTTCTTCCACCTAGGAAAGAGTTGAGGGCATTTTACTGAGTATTCTGCTGGGTTACCAAAGTAAGAGAATTCTGTAAATTCTGTGGATGCTGTTGAGGTTGACATCATGAGGGAACTACTTCTAATCCCTGGACTGCTACAGAAGGGCAGAGGGAGCTCTTAAGCTTTACCTGCTTTTTTTCCCCCCTGAGGCAGGGTATCACTATGTAATCCTGGTTGTCCCAGAACTCAATATGTAGACCAGGTTGGCCTTGAACTCACAGAGATCCACTCGCCTCTGCCTCCCAAGTGCTGGGAGTAAAGGCGTGTGCCACTACACCAGGCTTGAAGGGACACTAGCTGGAGCATGTGGCTCTGGCAGGCCTTGCCCTTCTCCCCATTCCCTCTGCCTTACTAAAACCCATTAGATTACATTCTTGAAGCTAGTCCCCACGGTCCATTTCCTTATTTGGTCAATCCCTCCTCCTGAAGCTGACTACTAAGGCCCAGCTATCAAAGGTCCAGCAATCAAAAGCCTCCTTTGGCTCATCTAATTAACATGTTCAATTAAAGTTAAACACCTCATCCTACCATGAGGTTTGCCCTTGTACCTTTACAAACCGCCATTTTCCTATGGGCCACGACTGTCTCTTCTCTATCCAGAGGCAGTCCTTTGTCTTCTGGGACAAATACCCCTGCCTCCTTTCCCTTGTTACCTTCTATTGCCCCTCATCCTCTATCTCCTGCCTTTGTCTCTTATTCCCTGTCCTCTGTCCCTCTGGGGCAAATAAATCTTTGTGCTGAGAACTTGGTCTTGGGGTGTCTTGAGCCAACTTTGAGGTTCCCTACACAGCCTTACCTGATTTTTTTGAGACAGGGTTTCTCTGTGTAGCCCTGGCTGTCCTGGAACTCATTCTGTAGACCAGGCTGGCCCTGAACTTATAGAGATCCGCCTGCCTGTTTACTTGCTTTTTAAATTTATTTATTTTTATTGCTGTTTTGCCTGCATGCATGTCTGTGTGAGGGTGTCAGATCTTGAAGTTACAGACAGTTGTTACCTGCCATGTAGGTGCTAGAAATTGAATTTGGGTCCTCTGGAAGAGCAGTCAGTGTTCTTAACCACTGAGCCATCTCTCTAAACCCCTGTTTTTTAAAGAGGGGGGCGTTATAGGTGTTCAGCTAAGCTGCAAGCTTCCACACCCCAAGACCAAGCAGTTGAGTGAGGAAATGCAGGTGCACCATTAAAAAGTCAGGTGTAGGGGCCGGAGAGATGAATCAGTGGTTAAGAATACTTCCAAATGGCTAGAACCAGAGCAACCAGTGGCTGCTCTTCCAGAGAGTCTGGGTTCTATTTCCAGAACCAATATAGTGGCTCACAACCATCTCTAACTCCAGTCCCAGGCAATCCAACACCCCCTTCTGCCCTCCCCAGACATACATGCAATAGATACAAAATTACATACACCAATAGATATAAAATTTAAACAAACCAACAAAAGATACATAAAGATAAAGAAATAAAGAAATATATAGATATAGATTAGATGATAGATAGATAGATAGATAGATAGATAGATAGATATAGTCAGGTGTAGATGGGTATGCAATTGCATCCCTGTAATCCCAACGCTGGAGGAGACAAAAGGATCACAAGTTTGAGGACAACCTAGGCTACATAGAAAGTTTAAGACCAGCTTGGGTTACATAAGGAGGCCATTTCTCTGTCTCTGCCTGTCTCTGTCTCTCTCTCTCTCTCTCACGCGCGCCAGGGTCAGCTGGCTCTACAGACACAGATGGATGTCATTAAGGAAAAAGTGAAGGCAGAATATCAGAAAAGCATGTCTTTCCTGGAGCACCAGGGTATCTGCGTTTGGGGAGTGATCTGCAACACACAATCATCAAGTTCTTGTAGGGGAACTGTTGCAGTAAGTGTAGGGCCGTTTATAACTGCCCTGAGGAAAACTGCTTATCATTTTCTATACCACAGGTATACAAGTTCAGTTTATAAAGGGCTTCAGTAATCCTCATGTCATGTATATTTAAAGATCTTGCATACAAGTGCGGAGCTGGGATTACCATGATCATTTGAGAGGGGCTAAATTACTCCTAGGTCTAGGGAGTGATCAAGGGAGATGTAAATCAGAGTTCCTCCGAGTCAGTATCTGCTACCGTAAGAATTACTGAGAACTCTAGGGGACAAGTCTCTCTCCCAGACCTTATTCGTACCGCTGGAGGATCTAAATTCCCTTCTAGTTTTGCAGCACTAAAGCCCTTTCCAGTGCATATAAACACTAGTAACGAGCAGCTGAGGCGTGAGCCGGAGGGCCAGAGGTGGGCTTAGGGGGTTAAGCCCGCTGAACACCAAGAGGACCGGGGCGGTGGGGAGCAAGTTGCCCGGAGCTCCACTGCACGCGCCGGACGCCCGCGAGGGGCTGCGGCTGGAGGGCGGGCGGCTAGCTCACCTTGAGGCGGTTCAGTTGGTCGTGTAGGGCCGCCTTTAGACGCAGTAGCGTTTCCTCCTCCTTGCGGAGCTCCTGCAGCCGGCTTAGCATCCTCTTTCGCCTCGTTAGACTGAGACCCTCTGCCGGGCACCCAGTGATGACGTCACTTCCTACTCCCGGAAGCAGCCACGGGCCGCCGATTTATTATCTTCCTGCAGCTTACTATGGCTCCGGTAGCTACCAGGAGTCTGAAAGCAAGGGCTAAAGGAACCGCAAGGTGCTTGGAGATCCTTCACTTCCGTTGCTGGTTCCTCAACGTAAAACTGGATATACTAGTTTCAAAGTCCTCAGGAAATCAGTTCTCACCGCAGAACTTTTAACGTGTCATTTATGCCAAATGGCTTTACTCCACAAAGGCTGGAGACACTTGCTGGCAGAAACCACAATACCAATTTCTAGTGCCTGTCCTGGATCTTGCGCTGTAGAACAGGCTGGCCTTGAACTCAAGAGATCCCCTGCCTCTGCCTCCAGAGTGCTGGGATTAAAGGCAGTCCTGGGATTAAAGGCATGCACCGCCACCATCGCCCAGCTCTAGTTCAAATCTTAAGTGTGGGACATGAACCCTATTAAGCTTAAGGAGCTCCCATTTACCAGGGCAACAAAAAGCTAAATTCTAAGAGAACTATTTTACCTGAGTTTGTCCTGCCTGCTAATGCTTTTGATCAAATGCCATTAAGGCAACAGGACATGAGTCTAATTCTAGGATGACCAGATTGACATAATTTATATTTAGTAATACAACTAGCCATGTTTAAGTACTTTGCTCCCAAGGCTACATCTATTTGAGTCTATCTGTGGAACCTCCCCCCACTTCCTGATTTAATAACCCACAGGCTTCTCAAACAAGTCTTCTAAAACATTGTCAATGAGAAACGCTAATAGAATGGACTTCACTGCAGGTCTGGGAAAACCTCAAGTTCATTTTATACCAGACTAGAATGTGGAACAAATTACAGACTGAAGAGAATGAAATATTAAAAATGTCCTTATTCTACAATCCTGATGACCCCCTTATTTCCAAGTGTCATACCACTCATCCCACAAAGGGGGAGGAGGGTTTTGGAAGCATCCACAATAAAGATTCACACAACTGTTTCTCACTGCATCTTTGATCAGGTTTTTATTCAAATAGGCTCTGTCTCTATTTACTCTATGGAATGAAACAGATTTTCATAGTTTAAGCAGCAGGCTTTTTCTCTTCTGTGGTAGGTTTCTTCTCTGCCGCCTTCTTCTCAGCTGCTGGTTTCTTGGTTGCTGCAGCCTTTTTTCCTGCAGGCTTCTTCAGCTTCTTGACACCCACAGGCTTCTTTTCCTTCTTACTTTCTGCAGGCTTCTTGTCTGCAGTCCCCTTCTCCGGTTTGGTTGCCAGAGCTGCTGCTGCTGCTTCCAGCTTCTTCACCCGGAGTTTGTGCTGCAACAGAAACAAACAAGTAGGAAACTAAGAATGGAGTCTTCAATCTGGATCAGTGGTGTTGGGATTAAAACATCTTTAATCCCAGCACTTGAGAGGCAGAAGCATGTGAATCTGTCAATTCAAGGACAGCCTGGTCTACATAGCCAGAGATATGGAGCCCCTGGGGAGGGGGGGAGGGGGAGAGGAAGAGTACCTAATCTTCTAAAAAGATCAACAATACTCGACATTGCAGATCATGGCTTACATTTCTGGCCTGGCGAAGAATGGTATTTCTGCGCATAGTCTTTGCATAAGGGTTCAGCTTCAACATGATTCTCAGGTTCTTCAGTGGATTCTTCTTCAAGACTCTGCGATGAATCTTCTTGCTGTAAAGAGGTGGCACTCATTAATCAACATGTATGCCTTTAAAAGTCAAAGTATCAGACTATAGCAAGAGTTAAGCACCAAAACTTTACCGTGGTGCTCGGAGGGCTCTTTGGATCTCTGGGCTTTTCAAGATTCTGCTAAGGTCTGTGTTCAACATCTTGTGCATAGGAAGGCTGGAAAAAGACAAGCAGTACAAATTGTTAACTTGTAACTGAACATTTAAGAACTGTATTTCCATGTATTAACTCTCCAGGTACAGAATTACGACCTCATAACTTTTATAATCATGGATCAGACACAGAGCATTACCCCTCCACAGAATGGGAAATGTAAAAATTCAATGAATAATTTAGGAAGAATAGAAATCAAGTCCGAATGTAAATGTACACTTTAGGTATCCATGGGAAATAAAGGAACATGGGAAACTCACTTATAGTTACTCTTGAGGGAAGCAGCCTTCCGCCAAGTGCCATACAACTCATCCAACTTCCGGAAAGCACTTTCAGTCCAAATGCAGAAACGCCCCACATGCCCACCAGGAGCAAGTTTCAAAATGTTCAGCTTGCTTACATTAAGCAAAGTAATACCTTTAAAGGCAAGGAAGAATCAGAGAGCTTGTATTCAACCAACAGAGGAAATACAATTTATATGGCTTATACACAAGGCACTTTTAAAAAAAGATGGATGAACTGTGAAGTTCAAGCCATCATGGTGGAACTCACTCACTAGGAATCAGAACTTCCACAAAATCATGTTATTTCAGAAACACGGACCATGAAGTGGAATTTCATCATAACTGAAAACTGAGTGAGTGTGCACAGGACAGGCAGTGAAAACATTCCAAGAATTTACCAGGGATGTTTCTGAAGGCCTTGATGATACCATTATCTTCATTATAGATGATGCAAGGTCCCCTGCGCTGGATACGCCGTCGGTTTCTCATTTTGCCCTTGCCAGCTCTCATTCTCTGAGAGGCGTAGACCTAGAGAAAGAGGAGCTTTAGTACTCTGATCAAGACACAACCTCTCTAGCAGGTAAAGGCACTTTCAGCCAAGCCTGATGATCTGTTTGATCCCTGGGATTCACAATTCTGTTAGCACTCCACCTCTCAGTTACTAAAGGGTTATGACTTGCTCAGTAACAATTTTCGTCAACCTTCTGAATCAGCTTACTGACAGCAGGCAACTGTCACTGAAAACAGAGTAAGACGCAAATTACGACATCATTGCAAGCAAAACCATACTCTACCAAGCCCTCTAAGAAAATGGTAACAGGTAACTCCTCCCAAGTTGTTCTCTCACATACAAATGATGTGATACAGTAATGCTCATGTAAATACCTTTCTTATTTTCTATTACCACAATCAAATCTACACTAGAGATTATGAGGTTACCTACAGAGAACTTGATTAACACAAGTACCTTTATCTACGGATCTTTCAAAGATTTTTATAATCCATACCCAATCAGAACTGAAAGCCTACTACCCACACCCTTTAAACCTCAACTTATCCTTTCAAACAAAATCTAATAGTATTGAATGGTAGATGTTTATGTTGAATCTACCTTTTTGATGTCATTCCAAGCTTTAAGTTTCTTAAGCAGTTGAACAGCCTCCTTGGTCTTCTTGTAACCTTCAACCTTATCTTCAACTACCAAAGGGAGTTCAGGAACTTCCTCAATACGATGACCTAAGAAAGCCAATTCAATACTTAACAGGAAAGTCAACTCTTTACACACACACACACACACACACACACACAAAGCAAAATGGCATACATTGTCAAATCAGAATTTCCACTAATATCATGTGTTTCAGAAACACGGACCAATTAAGTGGAGTTTCATCATTTTGACAGTTAATAACATGGTAGGAATTTGTTGGGAATTACAATCAAGGTTAGACTGAAGCAAGCAGAACTGCTTTTAGTAGGCACTAAGGAATAGAACTCACTCAAGCTTATCATCTAACAGGTTTTCATGAAAGGCAGAAATTAAATGTCCTGTATCAAAGCATCACAGACCTTTCGACATCACCAATGCTGGTAAGGCTGAGGCAGCCAGGGCAGAACAGATGGCATATCGCTTTTGGGTTGTGTTCACTCTGCGATGCCAACGCCGCCAGGTTTTGGTTGGTGCAAACATGCGGCCTCCCCGACACATCTGTTTTCTTTGTCAAGAACTATATCATGTTCAGGTCTGGAGTGTTAGCAAGGGTATGCCTTGCTCAGTAACCATTTTCGTCAACCTTCTGAACCAGCTTACTGACAGCAGGCAACTGTCGCCATGGACAGAGTAAGACGCAAATTACGACATCACAGCAAGGAACCCCCCAAAAAACATCTCCAGACTGTTGTCTAGAGGATATGTTTGTTAGGGACACTAGCAGTTTTAGACATGATTCAAACTATTATTAAACCAAGTCTAAGTCCAGTTGGGTGATTGCAAAGAACGCTATCAGAGAAACAGGATACATTTCCAAAGGCACCCTGGCCAGAACGGTGGGTCCCACCACCTCGAACTCTGGGAATTCGAGCCACAGCTCTGCCAGTACCCCAAGACTCGGCACTGGTCTGATGACCTAAAATTGAGAAGAAATAAGTTTTAGGTAGTAAGTCCTAACAATTGATGACTTACTTTATGCATGGTAAAGGCAGTATCAGAATAGCCAAGGAAAATCACATGGTTCAGAAACACGGACCAATGGCATTTCATCACCCACTGCAAAGCAGCCCTACCCATGGTAAATGGAAATCCATACCTGCTAATTCACTGACGGCATAGGGCTGTCTGTTGTTTTTCCTCAGGTTGGTGTGAACAAAGTTCACGATATCCGGTCGAATGGGAGCTTTGAACACAGCTGGCAAAGTGACATTTTTGCCAGATGACTCCCCCTTTTCAGAGTACACCGATATGAGGGGACGGGCACAAGCCTTGGAGGGAAGAAAAAGCTAACTTAGAGCAATCATCAGCTCCTGTATGTGGAATCCAGACTTTAAATACACACTCTAAGACTTGCAAGCAGATATAGGACTACTTGAGAACTGGGGACCAGAAAGGCAGCCTCTGAGAAACAGTGGTGAACCAAGTACATGAACTACACAAAAAGCCCCAACAGAACCGCATCACATTGTTAACAAGGAATACTCACTTGAGAAAATGGAAGGGTAATAACTATACTGACAACATTGGAGGCAAACTCTTCTCATCATTAAACGGTTTTGGAGGCAGATAGCACTTAAAATCCGAATTAAACGACAAAGTCACAGGCTGTTATATACACGTCAGTTTGTGCTTGTCTAGCATGTATGGGAGG